AAAAGACTAGCAGAAAGAAAGTAAGAACATGAACAGTTTAGATTGATAAAGGAAGAGAAGATTTTAGAAGCAAATTATTCTAAGATTATAGAAACAAACAACCAAAATAGTAAAGAAATTAAGAAAGATAAAGGTAATACAGAGCGAACAAATGAGAAGATAAGTTTTACAAAATCAAAAGTAATACTAAATAAAGAAAGAAAAAAGAAACACACTACTCATAAAGAAAAAAGAAAAAGAGAAGAGTAAGCAAGATTAGAATTAAAAGATATATATAAATGCAGAAGCAGAACTAAAAGGACTAATATATATGAAAGTGAAAGTGATAAAGTATCTACTAGTAGACAAGAAACCTGCTCTGAAGAATTCAAAAATGATCTAAATATAATTACTATATAGGATTTACTAAACAAAGCAAAGAGAATTTAAATTTTTGAAATGATATGATGTATAGAAAGAATTAAACATATTAAAATAATAAGAAGAAGGTCTGGTGATCTTAGTGTAATGTAAAGTTGCCTACTGTAATAGGTTTTCCAAAGTTAAAAGGTTGCAACTTTTTATGCTAGAAGTTGTAATTTTTTTTGTAATAGGTATAATAACTGTAATCGATGTAACAGTTGTAGTCAGTGTAATAGTTATAATAGATGTAATGGTTGTAATAAGTGTAATAGTCATAATTGGTATAACAGATCTATGTTAATTCGTTATCTCTGATTACTAATTAAAGCAACAATTCATATTTTAAAATACTTATAACTTGTATCAGTATTAATATTTATTTTAATAAATATATTGTGAAGGTTAAACTTATAATTCAAAATTGGGCTGTGCTCAATTTCTTTAGTTTATTAGTTTCTATTTGTAATCAGTAGTATTAAGTAAATAAAAGATCAGCAACAGTGAATTACTTAATTGAAAAAATTAAAAGATTCTCGAGAACCAAAAGATTCTTGAGACCAAAAGATTCTCAAGAATCAAAAGATTCATATAAATCAAAAAAATTTAGATAGATACTTTTTCAATTTTTCTAAAAAGTATAAAAGGAGCCTCAGCTTACCTTCAATAAAGAATAACTCAGATAGAGTTTAATTTAGTTGGTTCTTGACTTTGAAATAATAATAATAATAATAATAATAATAATAATAATAATAATAATAATAATAATAATAATATAAAAATTAAGTATAGCCTAATTTTGGATTGTGCTATGTCAGTAAGTTTAATCTTCATAACGTATGTAATGTCTTAGAATTAAGTAGCTCAATCAAAGGAACTAAGACTTTATAAGAGTAAATTTTAATTGACATTTAGATCTTCTGTTATGAGATTAACTTTAATGATTTTGAATAAGGAATTTGAAATATGTATTTATGTTACACTTTATTAAACTATGTATAGGATAGACTTTATGATATTTATGAGTATTTAAACTTTGAAATTTATAGTAAACATATTTTTTAAAAGTTCAATAATTGTTATATTTAAAAATAAAAAATTAAGTATATAGAAATTATTTGTAAAATATACTAGTGAGCAAAATATATTCAAAACTTTGATGAAATGTTTACATTAATGATAAAGTGCTAAAATATATATTTGTACCTAAGATATATTTTCACTTTGTTTTTTTATCACTTTTTAAAGTTTTATATACTCAGGTATTTCTAAAAAGAGATATAAAAATATAATATGAATATATAAATCCAATTTAAATGTCCAAATTACACTACATATAAACTATAAAAAAATATATAAATTCAATTTAAATGTCCAAAATTATCATCTATTACAAGTATTGGTATCCTTTATATTTTTACTAAAGATGCTACCGACACAGTAACATATGATCTAATTTTGCTATATCCTAACACTAAAATATACTATATAAACTATAAAAAAAATATATATTAACACTTTATAATGTCTATATCTAATATGAATCATTGAACTGTCTAGAAACAATTTCATCTACGTCATATTCATTTTTTTGTAAATTATTATCTGACTCGATTTCATTTGACATCCCATTTTCATAATAATCTTTAGAGTTTGTAAAAACTAAAGAACAAAGATCAATAAAATTTGAAACATTCAAATTTAACTTTAGTTCATTAGAATAAAGATCTTTAGTAGGATTAGACAATTCTATATCTTCTTCTTCTACTAATCTTTCTTCTTCAAATTTTTTAAAAACTGTTTCTGCAATATCAGATATTATTTCAGGAGTTACTTCTATAATTTTAGTATGACAAAGTTGATCTATAGAATTTGATAAATTAAACTGATAAACTTTTGCCAACCCTTCTAATCGATCTATATCTAATTGTATTCGATGATTTCCACAAATCTATTCTAAAGATGAAAAAATTCTTTTACAATTAGCAGAACTTGGTATAATAGAAAAAAGTTTAATAGCCAAACATTGCAAATAGTTAGATTTAGCTTCACAAGTATTCTACTACATCAATAGCATATCATTACTAATTGTATAAGGGGTAATATAAGGATTTGGATTTCTATTTATACTTTGTTCTTGCTCTTTATAAAAATATAGTTATATAATTAAAGCTTTGCAACTTTCTTGAAATTTGCCTATTTGTTGCTATAACTTTCTAGCATAACTTGCAATTAAAGGAAATATATCAAATTTTAATCCAATATTTTTGTATGCTAGATGAAAAAAATATGTAAGTTGATAAGCAGGATCATTAAATTCTTCAAATTGTTGATCAAACTTTCTAATATAATAATTGTGAAATCCTCTATATTCATCAGTAGGAAGATTTTGTATTGCTGCAGCAATTCTTATTAAATTAATATAACAGTTAGCAAGTGTAAAATTATTTGCATCAACTGACAAAATTGTATCCTTAATTGGAAGTAAAATCTCTGAAAGATATTGTATATCACTAAAAAAGCCTCGACTACAGAGAATTATCAAAATAACAGAATTAAGAATTTCAGAATGATTTTCTTGAATATCCTCTAAACAAACCTTGAGTCATATAATTGATGAAATGCATTCATGTACTATTGTCTATCTTGTTTCGATATAAGTTTTAAGACTACCTTCACTAATTTGGTGTACTGAAATTTTTTGTTTTAAAATTGCTGTAGCTTTATGAGATCTTTTAAAAAACCTTGTTATTTTATTAGTACACTGAATCATCCTTTCTGAAAATGTATGCTGAGTAAAATCTTTACTAATTAGATTAAAACAATGAGCAATGTATCAGATATTCATAATATATTTATATTTTGAACAAATTATGTATTATGCAGATGCTATATTGGCTCTGTTATCACTAATAATTGCTGAAATTTTATTATTACCAATACGATTAATAATTGATTCAATTTTACTAGTTAGAAATTCTGCTGTATGTGATTGTTCTGAGTAATTTCTAAGTTCATAAAGAAATTCTTGCTGTAATGGTATCATGATAACAAAATTCCAAATTAATAATCTGTTAAGAGTAGTCTAACTATCAAGACCAATAGTAAGATTAGTAATATGGTCTAAAATTTTATTAATTTTATTAATAACTTTTGCAACTTCAATATCTAATAGACATCCAGAAAGAATTTCACATGATAAAACTTCATAACTAGAATTAAGAAGTTTTAGAGTATTTATAAAAAAAGAATTATCAATTATACAAAAAGAAATACTACATATAATAAAAGCTAATGCAATAGCTTTATTAATCATTGATTGTTTAGATAGCTCGATTCTGACAAAATTAAACCAATTAGTTAATTTTGTTTTTTTTTGTTTAACTAAAAATGAAGTAGTATTTTGCATGCTATAAAGAGGTATATCAGTTGGAATATCTTGCAAATTGTTGACTAAAATATAATTAAAATGATATTTCTATTTCTCAGGAATATTTTTATAGCTATTAGCAAGATATGCTCGCAAAGTAGTTGGCTTAGTACATGAATAAAATTTTTCACTATACATACAAATTCTCTTCTAATAACTATCACCTTTAGGTGCATCTCTTTCAAAATATTTCCAAACTCCTGTTAATGGACGCCCTGATTTTGGATTGCTTAAATTTCTGAAGTTTGTTTCTATATCACTTGAAGTTGAGTTATTATTTTGTTTTCTTTTAGTCATTTTAAAAAATATTGATTTTTTAATAAAACAACATTAAATGAATTTATAAAAAAATTCTAATATATAATTGCAAAAAATTTTTTTATTATTAACATTAATACTAATGTAAACTTTTTACATGACCAAGGCTTAGATACTTGTTTTGTACTACACAATTACAATGTTTACTTTTGAATATATAAATTTGGACAACAATTATTTCTGTTATATATAATAACTAATTAGAAGTATAATGCACAATAATAATTTATGTTATTGAGACATGTGAACTGAACACCATAATATCTCTTGCATAATATTTTTAAAAGCTAGATTCAAATATTAATAAAAAGTATTATTACTAAGCAAAAAATATTTGATTTTACTTAATTATTATATAATCACATCTGTTTATATGAATGGGTTTCAAAATTTTACTAGAATACCTAATAGAAATTAGCTGAATTATTGACAGATTTAATAAGTTATTAACTTTAGCAAGATTAATATACCCTTCAAATTGTTTATAAATCTATATCTTTAAGAATACTTGAGAATCTGATATGTAGAAGATTTTCTAACACAAATATTTAACAAGTTTACTAAAAACTTTTTTTTTTTTTTTTTTTTTTTTTTTTTTTTATTGATCCAACAAGGCCTCGATGCTAGTTAATTTTTATTAAGTAGTTTGTAGATTTACATTAGTTAGTGAGAGTACAATTGGTTACACATACAACTTTAATCATTATCTATTTAAGGTTCTGCTCAGAGGTTATCTACTAATTGCCATATCTAGTATCTATTTATAGATACTCTATTTAAACCCTTTAGCGTCTCTATTATCCCTAATGTTTACTTAATTTTATTCTTAAACCTACACAATCTTGTGTTACCTTAATGAAGACTACTCAGACTGATCTTATGCCTCAGTTTTCTTTATTAGGAGGGCCCTATCTTAAGGTATCTTTTTATCCTTGTCAAGAGGAGCCTACGGAATACTCCAACTATGCTATACTATATCCCAATTAAGCTAGCATATACCCTTATAGGTGTTTGTACAAACCCAGTTCCTACTGTGGCTCTCCACCAAATTAGTCCTCTATATATTCAGAAGTTTTACAAGTCAAATCCTCCCAAATTCAGTTAGCTGCCAAGCCAGATTGGTGTTGCTACTAATGCAAGGTACTAGGCTGTA